GTAAGATTTTAATAAGTATCTTATTAGATTCTTATACGAGTGATTGCGGATTCTTATTAGTTCCTTATCAGATTCCTATCAGATTCTTTTGTAAGAATCGATCACTAGGGCTTTCACGCAATTAATTCTTCGATCTTAAATAAAATTTTCTAAAATATCTGTTTTTCATACGAACGTTTTGTCTGGAGCTTATTCTAGCTTCTGATAGTTGGTGGATGTCTCAGGATGTGAGAAAGTAGTTTTCGTAAAAATCTATACCCGCGCACTTCTCTAAGCATTTTTCACAAATGTTCTGCTCACTTTGAAACAAACACCTTATGATTATGAAATGCCGAATGATATCGCAAGTGAAAAAGTAAATAAAGGAAATAACCTTTTGTTGTAATTTCAAGTCCACAACTCAACTTAGAACCTTTCTGTACTTTTTCTCGCTTTGGTATGCGCAGTAAAATCAAGAGTTAGACTAATTCATTGAGGCTTCAAAAACAATATCTGTCCATATCTTTATGCGCTTTTTCTTCTATTAGCAATGAAGTCTTCATCTGCGCCTCTACTTCCGCCACTAGCAGTCAAGAGGATCCAACTATTCACAATACACTATCAACTCGGGCATTACCAAACACCGCATCTATGGCTGAATAGCATCCTATGAAAGAGTTATCTTAGATGGTCCAATAAAACTTTATGGGATTACACAGGAAACGCTGTATATTCGTGTATGATTCTATAGGACATAATACGGTACTGACCGCTATATGTTTACACCGTTTATAACATGCAACATTGTTCGTTATTAAACACTGTTTATCTTTCGACAAGTGATTTTGTTCGATTTGTCACCCGATGACTATTTCCATGTTGGACAATGATGTACGAGAAAATCACCAGCATGAACAAATTCAAGTGAAGTTAAACCTCGCCGATATCAAGAGCTAAACCTAGAAGAATTTGCAGATAGTAAATCAGAGATCGTGAAAACCACATTACCTTCACTTTTAAACGACTTGTATACTGCAAATATGGTAACAATGAAGAACTAGTGTCCGAAAATGGAAGAAAAGTGTCCCATGATTAGTGACAATGAAAAAGCATTCAAAAATGCTTTTCAAAAAGAATGGTGCGTTAATCAATATTTTTCTATCGCTCTCTCATAAACAATACTTTAGCTCTTTCGTTAACCGTTATCTAACACTCCTACCTGATCAATTGTTTATATATTATGGTCCAAAACTAATACAACTGCGATGTCATATACATCTGTATCGAAATATTTATCGTCACACGGTGAAATATCGTTCATCGAAAAAGAAACAAACCGATGAAAATCATGAAATGGGTATATACGATCGGAATAGCTCTTGTCTTCTGTCTAATTTTATCATTTCATTCATCGAGAAGTGGAACAACAAGTGGAAGAATTACAAGAGCAAAATTCCACAGAAGATGATCCAACGATACACATTGAAAACCGATCCGTTAACAATTGTTGTTCAGTACTTAGGTAATTATATCCATAACTTTATCTTATCACACTTTTTCTATGGTTCTCCTTTTCACTTTTAGATGATGTAAAATTAGGAGTACCATCAAATAAAACACCAGCAGCAGTGATCCAAGAAATAGAAAAACGTGTACAACGTGAAACAAGTGCACAAGTCTATCGAGATTTAATATGTACATCAGAAGGCGTTTCGACAATTCACAACAAACGTCAAGTTCAGTATCGCCGACAAAAACAGCTTAATCAGTTGAAATTAACACACGATGAAATGTAAGTTATTATGTGCAACCACAGCTGTTAAAAAGTGTCATTGTCTCCATTGTGTAATATACGTATGTTGTAGGTTTTCACTGTATTCAGTTGGAATGCACCATTCAAAATTTATCCGGTTTTATCTCCTTATGCCACAACCGGTTGTTATATGTGCAGATGAACAAATAATCGAAATATTCAATGTAAGTTTATTCGCTTCTTAATCAATATACCTTTTTTAGGTGCTGAGCTGCACTTATTTAGCTCTTCTTTGCGACTTGTATACCATCTTTGACTTGTGTTCTATGAATCAAGACTGGGTCTCAAGAGGAGAATAGAGAAATTCTAAAAGTCTGGATATGTCTTTTCGCTACAGTAAGACGAATTCTAAAAATACTAAACCTACTCAAACAGAAGTTCTTGATATCAAGAAAGCAAGATGTTGGAACATTTCTTGCCTGTTTCTTTGCCCAAGAAATGACACTGAAGTCTCGTTTACTACTTCTTGCGGTAAATAATATTAGCCGTTTATTTCTTGCTCAGGAATATTTTATCCGGCAAAGAGATGTTTTTCTGTTCTTTCAATGTGATCATTTATACTTTGTATACAACAGTCACCTGCTTTTTTATTTTATTTATCTTTCAACGTCTTATCTTGTGATGTATTTGTATATTTGCTTTATAAATCAGTGAATATTTTTCGAATAATCTTAATACATTTGTGTACATCTTATTAGTCTATGCTATCGGTTTCTTGTTTGTCTGTTATTATTCACAATCAATCACAATGAAATTGTTTTCTATTTTGCTTTTCCAAAATAATATGAAATAATATGAGAATTTCATGGGCTACCGAATGATATATGAAAGAGTCTTAAGAAAATGTAAGTGGGTAGTCTAAGGTTAGAAATACTCGGTAGCATCTCAACAAACCAGTAGGTCAACGTGGCTCATGTTTATAATAATAACTTATTTCCTCGTTAACCACTCCATTTCATGTAGCACTTTGTCTTCGTCTTGTTCTTCGTCAACACTATCACATATATATATATATATCATAGGGCGCACTGGGTGTGCTCGAGCACCCCCAACTTTTGAAAACTTAGCAGAAAAACCCTTTTTTCCCAGCAGAATCTCACCAAAAAATCATTTGAACACCCCGAAAAATTCCATACAATGGTATGAGCACTCCCAACCCAAAATTCATTCCGCCGTCCCTGATATATTTATAGTCTGATTAATTATCTTTTCTTCATTTTATTTTACCTCTGTCTTTGACGTTGAAACGTAACAATAAAAGTAAAATAAGAAAGGGTATCGAAAATTAACTCAAAAAAATTCAGAATTCTTTCAAACTTTTTCTCATTTCTACAATAAATGACATCAGGACAAAAATCTCTCGTTTCATATTTCAGAAAGAAAAGAAAATGTAAAAGAGTAATTCAACAAAAAAAAGTAAAATAAATGATAATTCAAATAATATTGTAAATGATAATACAACCATTATAAATCCACTGTCAAATACTGAACCATAATCTGGTATTCAGTCGAATATTAATGAAAATTATTCACTGTATATAACAATAATCACACAACAAATGACGATAAAAAACGTACATATCGAAAATGGTATTTAGAAGACTATAAGTGGCTTGTATATGAACCAAATAAAGGTGGATTTTGTTGTATATGTCGCTATCATTGGAAACAACAATACCATGCTATTCTGAGATGAATACAAGAACTAGAGGTGTTTTTACTATAAAATCGTTTGTCAATTGGAAATATGCACCTGGTCCAGGTGGACGTTTAGAAAAACACCAAAAATCTACTTATCATAAAACAGCTGCACAGGATTTATCATTTAGGCAGCAAAAGAGAGATGAAATATTTACAAGCTAAATGTTTCGTTCCATATTGGATTATTCATATCTTTTCTAGTCGATGTTCTTTGTTTGTAATCTTTATCCACATATAATTCAATGTAAGCATCTGCAGAATAAAAAACCGAAAAAAATGGCATTTTATCTTTACTATCGTAAGGGAATAAACGTTCGCAAGGGAACTCCATAACAGGCAGTCAATATTTGGACTTTATTTCCTGAGGAGACACACAATCGCACCCATTATACACACTCTATCCAGTAGAAAAGAAATACCACTTCTTCCTGTTCTTTTGCGAGACAGGACGGATTGGATTTTGTTTGAGCATGCCACGACAAGTTTCGACCGATGCTCAGCGGTCTCATTAGGTGGTCTCAATACTCTTCTGTTCATATGTTATGAACTCGAAGGTATTTTGGCTAAGTCACTCTTCTGCTCTAATATGAACTCGAAAAAGTAACTTCTGGGAATTGTATGATGCTATTTATATACAAATATATACATACCGAAGTACTAATTTCTGAAAAATCATTCATTAGACTGTCTATATTTCGAGAAAAATATAGACAGTCTAATAGACAGTCGAAAAAAAAAAGCTATCGACTGATTTTTCTTTTTCTTTTTCTTTGTCACTACGCTCGGTCTCTTGTTTTATTTTGATTTTTGCATCATTTATTTCTCAGAAAAATGACCTTGATCAAAAAGTAATAAAAAGGCAGTATCGAAAAAAGTAAAAGGCAGGAGCACAAGCAAAGAAACCAGTCTCATTAGTTTCAAACGATGAGACCAGTGCTCAAGATTTCTAGCAAAACCTAAAGAATATACAGATCGGCCTTATCTGAGGGCAGGTCATATTCGACGGTATTTGTACAGTCTATCTAAACCCACTGACATCGGTCCAACGGCTCGGCATATAAACCGTTTTGCCACTATTTCAGCACCAATATACGACGTCTGGATCCGAGACAATTATGAATACCAAGTAATTGAGGACGTTTAGAAAAACTCCAACTTCTCATAAAACAGCTGCACAGGATTTACCATTTAGGCAGCAAGAAGGATCAGTAGCACAACATTTATTTAATGTTAGTGAATCAAAATGTCAAGAAAATCGTTAAAAATTTGGTGCTTTATTAGCTAGCGCATATTTTTTATTTAAACATGAACTTTCACATAGAACTTTATGTGCACCACCACTGGCATTATCGTCAAAAATCGATCATAGTAAAAAATTATCAATATTTTCCGATAAATGTCAAAAGAATGCCACATATGATAGCACAACAACTGTAACAAAATTATCACAATCAACAAGTAATAGATAAAGAAATTTTAACAAAAATTCGTGAATCAAGAATTATTTCAATTATGACTGATGAAGCTACAGATATAAATCAACCATCAAAACTTATCAATTTCTTTACATTATTGTAATCAAGATACAGGTAGGTGTATTCTGAAGCCATGCTGAACTGGTTTTATGTATCTTGCCTGATGCTCCGGGAGAGAATTTTTTTAGATTAGAGGCAAGGAGGAAAAATGGTTCGAGATGTATGATGCTGTTTTTTATTCAGAAGATGCTCTTTTAGAAAAGTCTGCTTACGCATAATATTTGTACTTTCTAGGTGAGCCAATAGAATTATATATTAGTTTATTAAAAATAAAAGATAAAGAAACAATATTTGATACACTTGTTAAAGAATTACAATAAAAATATTGATATGACAAAAATTCATTTTACTGGTTTTGATGGTGCATCAGTTTTTAGTGAAGAGTGTACTGGTGTATCAGCAAAATTTCGACAAATATATTTAGATTCAATATTATTTATTCATTGTCGTGCTCATATGTTACAATTATGCTTATTATCAGCGTGTGAAGATATACTTGAAGTACAAGAAAGTTTATTAACGTTGAAAATTCAATCTTTTTAATCGGTCATCAGTTAGATTAGCATGTTTTAATGATATTCAAACTTTATTAAAACATCCACAATTAAAATTCTTCAACCTGATGATATATGATGGCTGTCATATTCTCGTTCTATTAATGCTGTTACTTATTGTGTTGAACCACTAACGATAACATTGGAACATATAGCTAATGACAGAAGCGAATAAAGTCCAGATGCATCGGGTCTACTTTCAGTTTTATAAGATCAATCAACAACATTCATATTGCATAGTTTAGAACCCATTTTTGAAACATTTTCAATATTATCGAAATCCATACAAACAAAAATGGTGATTTTAAACAACTTGAACAATCGATGTTTGGAACATTGTTACGATTAGAAGAACTGAAAGACATCATCATCTAATAGTCATAATCATAATCGTATAACACGTTCAACGGCAACAAGAAATAAAATAAGTTTAGAACAAATATTTGATGATAAAATAGTCAACTTTATTGATAAAATTGTATCAAATACAAAAGCTGGATTTGAATCCAATGTATTAAAACGTCTCAGTTGTTTTCGTATATTTGATGTATCTGAAGGAACTAATGGACAACAATATGTTATAACTGAAATACATAATACAATCAAACAACAGTATCCTAATGATTATAATGATGACTTACTTGCCGAATGGAAAGCATTTCGCATATTTATTTGCACAAAAACAACAACAAACATCTGCAGTTTCAACACAACGGCAACAATGCACTAAGTTAGTTAAAAATGGAATGACAAGAGAAATGTATCCACAATTATCAATAGCTGATGAAATATTTTTATGTGCACCAATTAGTACAGCAACAGTAGAACGTGATTTTAGTGCAATGAATAGAATATTAACTGATCTACGAAATCGTTTAACAACATAGCATTTAGAACAATTAATGAGAATATCAACAGAAGGATCATCTCATTTAGATAATGATCTAAAAGATTTGAGTATTGATTGTTGGAAAATTAAAAAATTACGAAAAATTTCGATTTAATTTCGATTTGTTGTTTTCTTCTCAGAGCGTTTTTTTTTCGTGAAAAGTGTTTTTTCACATGTTATTTGTTTTCAAGGAAAGCTGTATTGGTAACAGAAGAAAAGTGTAATGGTGTTGTGAAAAGAAATGAATAAGAATCTGGCTGTACCTTTGTTACATAGCAAAAAGTTTTTTAGCCAACAGCCCCTCGAAAAATCTCAAGCGCCCACTCGAAAAACGAAATCTAGATAAAACACTGACTACAAGTTATCTCTGTTATCATCAGTAAATATTTGATATGCGTCCTTAGGAGTATTTATTTTCTATTCTTTTTTTGCTAGCGATAATTTTTTGTTGAATTTATAAGATATTTATTGGTATATAAGTCTGCATACACTATTATACTGATATTGTACTCTCTTTTTGTTCTAAAATGTAAGCTATTGTAACCGATTAATATTCTTTTCTTGGACATACCTTTTATAGTAGAGCAATATATGTTGAATGCTGAAGCGTCATTATCTATAAGACATTCAATTCACAGAAGTTCATCCGATTCTTTCAAGCTTTTGTATAATTTTAGTCGTTTCATGATAAAATTGGTTAAGTAGAAGCTTTCACTTATGGGTTGTAGTCCTGCAAAACAAGATGTTAGCAGAGGCCCAATTCCTACTAGAAGAGAGAATGTTACGGTAAGCGAAGTACCGCAACCAATGAAAACTACAAGATCTGATAAACTGCAAGAAGCTGGTTCAAGAGTAACTCCTCGTGCTTTGAATACACATCGACGATCCGAGCGGTCATCAGGTAAAAGATCTTCTATATTATACAGGAGGAGCGTGAAAGGCAACAAATACTCTATAAAAAAGGAAATACAAAGCTTAATGGTATCTAGTAGACTATTCGTGGCAGTTTAGATAATTGTGAATGATGAGCAGTAAAGGGTAACTAACTATCGTCGGAAATTAGAGCCTTCCACCCTATTACTGCTAAGATACATTCATCGAAAAAACAAATAAGTGCGGACAAAACCGAAAGTGTTGTAATTTGTTTTTCTTTCAATAATTTTCGCGTACTTACAGATTTATTTCTGTAGCTCTGAAGAAGCTGTTTTATTGATGTTGTAATATCGAAGGTCTTGCACTTAGACGAGTTTGAATATACAAAGACCTTCTGTTTCTATCGAACTATGTTTACACTACGCGTGCTGTTACACTGGATTTCTAAGTTACAAACTCTGAGAATTCTTGGCTGAGTTACCGATCCTCTGAAAAACCGATTAGAATCACCAAAAATAAAATGACAACATTGTGATGATGTCTACAGATAGATAGCCTCAGATGTCTTCTTCAAAATGTAAGTTAACCGAGATGTAAATTTTCACTAGTTTAGTAGAGAGAGACAGTGGCTTTCGTGAGACTATTGTTTTCTCCCGGCAACAATCGATAATCTAGGGGAAATCGTTTGATTTTCTAACAGAAAAATCATGCTGAGCATCGAAAATAAATAATATTCTACAATTTTCAACTTGGTTGGGACTATTTCGAGTGAGTTATGACTGTTTGTTGTAAGGTGCAAATGGTCGAGAATTGCTTATTTTACAAAAACTGGTTTCCACTAGATTTTCGGATTTTTCCAGAAGAACAAAAATTGTATTGTTACTAACATACTGCACATATAAGTATCAGAATACTTGAGAGAATGAAATCCGAAAGCAATTAGAAAATAATTTTAGAAGGAGAGAATAGGCAATAAAATTATTTTATCACAGTAAAATAGTCGGCAACGTGAGAAACAACTATGGAAATTTTATCGTATTACTCTTAATTTATTTAATTATCGCTCATCTTCAGAAGTCTTATCTTTTCATATTTTATAATCAGATAACGAAGACAATGAGGAAGATGAAGATGAAGAGAGACCCGATCCTCCGAACTTTGAAATTCATTCATCACAATCCAATCGTCATCCGTCTCGCTCGAGTCATTCTGTAAACCGTACGCTTTCATCAGATCATGCACATGAAAATGGCCGTGAGTTGGTAACGAAAAGTCGAAGTTCACATGAAAGCGAAAATGGCCGTCAGTTGGTAACGAAAAGTCGAAGTTCACATGAAAACGAAAATGGCCGTGAGTTGGTGACGAAAAGTCGAAGTTCGCATGAAAGCGAAAATGGCCGTAAGTTGGTAACGAAAAGTCGAAGTTCACATGAAAGCGAAAATGGCCGTCAGTTGGGAGCAAAAAGTCGAAGTTCACATGAAAACGAAAATGGCCGTGAGTTGGTAACGAAAAGTCGAAGTTCACATGAAAGCGAAAATGGCCGTGAGTTGGTAACGAAAAGTCGAAGTTCATACTCTATAGCCAATCCGAAATCAGCAGGTAGAAGGGATGACGTCCATACGACTACAAAAGAATCACGTCTCACCGCGTCAAGACGAGAAGATACATCTACGCGAGAAAATACAAATTATGATGGTACAGAAACAGATGCTATACCACACGGACAATGTAGTCGGTGTGCTCATTGTGCTCGTATTCGAGAAAAAGAAAGAGAAAAAATGATGGAACCAGGTTTTGTTATAAAGAATTTGGAAGATGTACCCACTATTCGGATTGACATGGATCAATATGATGTCGATGGATTTAAAAAACAGCAACGTATGACAGGCAATCAGATGCCACAAACAAAGGACTCACATGGAGGAAGAACAGTGTTAGATGGAGATATTGAGAAATATTTTCAACGTGTCATATCAACACCCTTTCCGCCAAAGTACGAGGCAAGTCGAACACCGTATCCTGAATATGATCTACTACAGCGTTACGAAATACGACTAAATAAACCGTATACAACAACATTATTTGTTGATTAAACGTTTCACAAGCTAATACACTACACATTTTAATCTTTTTAAAAGCTCGTATTATCAAACCCTTAGTTTTTGCTTTTTTAGTTGCTTCGGCTTACATATATCTTTTTATCTTCAATGAAAGGAAGTAAATTATTATAAACGCTAACAGAAGCTTCAGAGCTGGATTGGTCCGAATTTGGATCGGATACGTTTTCGGTGGGCTCGGAGTTGGACCCGGACTGGAGATTTTTTTCAAAAGACTACGACTCCAAGTTGAGTTTTTGTGTTTCGAGTCCGATCGATTCAAGTTCTTACGTATATCAACTGAAAAATTTTCAGTTTTTCAATATCAGTATGCGATATGCAATAGAAGTTTACTTTGTTATACAAAATAAAATAAGCAAATAAAAAGTCTATAAATTATTGAAATAAATTATCCATATACTTCCTTTTCCGTTGCGTACGGATGGTTTGGTTTGTAAAAATACAATAAATTCAAATGCTAACTTAACATCTTCTCTTTTGCACAGCAACTTTTTCCGTTTAATTCCATTTTTCGCGGCCTTCGAACAAGTTTTCTCGGAGCTCTGAAAAACTGGATTTTCAAATAATAGTTTTTTCTTGTATACAATTAAATTTTTTTTCAACGCGTAGATAGTAGAGCAAACGTTTCTGATCAGAATAAGACCTTGCACAACTCTGTACGACCTTGCATTAAAAAGTTACAGGCATTTTCGTACAAGCCATAAAACTTAGCATTTTATACAGCGTTTTCTCTATATATAAGTTACACTTGAAGTATTTCCCAAAAGTTTTTAATATATTTCAAGCTCGAGAGTTCGGGTTTGTTTTATTTTAATTTAGACATCTCACTACATGGCTAACCGGCGCCTTTTGAATTAGGTCTTAATTTTTGTCAAATTGAGGCTTTTTAGAAAATCCAGAAGCATTTTTCGGGTTTCGCAGGTTGTTGGTTGCCTGGAAAACCAATAAAGGCTTAACTGGAAAATCGGCGCCCGTCAGTCCATGTAGTTAGGTGTCTAGATTAAAATTAAACAAAGCCGAACTCTCTAGCCTGAAGTATATTAAAAACTCTCGGGAAAAATGTCAAGGTCGTTTTGTGACCTTCATCTCTGGAAAACTCCTAAACCATGAGACTTGGAGATAAAAAAGTTTTTTCATTCTCGTAACTCATCAACCAAACATTTCCAGAAAGTTTGCCAAACATCGGATGTACGGTGTCGGAGATAATTTCTGACGGAAAACCCCTTAATGCGTTAAAATAATTTAATATGAGAGTGAAACGCGTTTTTCCGTTCGAATAATGCATTAAACAACCCATTTTAAATCGTTTAACCTTTTCATCCATCATGAACTTTCTCCTTTGCTTTTGTCATGCTAAATTTAGTGCATATGAATGCATTTTAAGGTTTTTTATGTCAGTTAACGTATGTGAGTTTATGAACATTCGATGCTGTTAAATGCATTAAAAGATAGTTACCCCGTGAAAAGGAAATTTTTTCCCTTGACTTTATATAGTCTAGGGTCTTACAAAATAGTTGTCTGTGTGTGTGTGCGCGCGCAAAATACGGAAAAATGGCTGTCGGATATTCTATGGATAACCCAATCATGAGAGAGAAAACTAGAAAACTATTTTTTATATAAGAGAGAAAATATTCAAAGAGATAACTGAAAAAATAATTACTGATGCAGACAGAAAAAAACTAAGCAAATGTTTCTGCAATTGGGAGTCGCAAACAACCTCCACACTTCATTCAAACGTTATTATTATCTGGAAGAATAAACAATATTTTCCACATAGTTAGAGCGCGTTCCGTTTGGCACTAAGAAAAACGACTTTTTATTTTCACTTCATATGTCTCGTGGTTATTTGCATCGGCACCACGCGTAACCCAAAACTTTCTTGTGTTCCTTAGTGAAAGTTTTAAGTAAAGTCCCTTTCTAGCGTTACCGTGCATGGAAACAAATCTATAGAAAACGATGCAGATGGAGTCAATGCTTGTCTGTTCTCTCCACACTCATATATATATTTTTCTCTTCAATCATAATACCTAGAATACATTTGATGATATATTTGAGCAGCTAAAATAATTTATGATGTGGCGTATATAATGTTCCATCAGAATTTCTGAAATCAGAGTCCCTAGAAAATCAAAATCCATATCACCGATAAAAAATGTTTTTCCGGTATGTTTAGAGTTAAAGAAAAGTGCTTTTTCGTATACAGCACACTTGATAATCTGGAAAATTTCTGTGTTTAGCTAGGAGTACCTCCAAAAAGTTAAGAAAAATTTTCAAACAAATTTGCAGAAAAGTCCCATTGGTAAAATTATTCAATTTTGAAAATTTTTCTCAACTTTTTGGCGGTACCCCTCGCTAAAAATAGAAAATTTTCGAAGTTATCAAGTGTGCTGTATACGAAAAAGCACTTTTCTTTAACTCTAAATGAACTTTAATTTTTTGTCGGTGATATGTCAGAAAAACATGACTCCGAGTGCGACCGAAATTTTTTCACAAATAACTCTATCTATAGAGAAATCATTTCTGAACAAAATGAGACGTCTCCGAGCTCTCTATGACATATTTTCACAAAACAGCAGTCAACTTATGAAAGGCCTTTAATTCTTTTTCAGTAGTTAAATTTCTGTTTAAAAAGTTCTTTCTTTATTAGACACAATAAGATTGATTGTAACATCTCGACTTTGAAAAGGTCTTCATCAGACATTGAAATATACGAACAAATTGTTAGTTGAACATCATATTTAAACTTATCGTAAATGCATTGAAAATAAGTTCATAAAAAATAATATATTAAACAAAAATATTAAGGGCCTCCCCCCCTCAGAAAAAATCTTTTTTGTCCGATTTTGATCAAACTTTCAGCAAATATTTGCCATATCAAAGTGTGGTTATGAAATTTGTTTTAGCTCGCTATCTCTTACCGTTCCGGAATTTTCCAGAGTCCAAGGTCAAAAACCATGTTCGAACAAAAACGAGTTTTGAGAAGAACGCGAAAATAGAACAACCGTGGGTGTCTTTTGAATAACTTTTGATAGAAAGCAGCCAGAGAGCTCCGATTTTTTCCATGCGAAAGACGAGACTTGTGGATACGTTTCCACAAGCATAATTATTTTCTGAAGAGTTTTCTGAAACAGGTTTTCTAGGAGATCTTTGAAAAACCAGGTCGTGTGTAAAAATTTTCGAATAGGATGTATTGCTTTTTTTCCATGGGCTGATAGCTCGGGATCTCCTCCTGAAGACGGGAACCAAACGGCACCTTGATTTTCCGCGGCTTGAGCGCTGTATCAGATTTCCTACGAGTCTCAGGACTAGCACCTGGTGACTATTGGTAGCCTTGAAAACGAATGGACTATGGGTAATCAATCATGCTGAGTCTCGTGGCAATATTTGCTTTTAGAAAAAGTTCTTAGAAAC